TTTTTTGCAGTTGATAAATAAATAGCTTCTTTAACTAGTAAATAATTTAAATATAGAATTATTTGGTAAATTAATATGCAACTGTTAAATAAAGATCCTTCATATAAGATGTTAATAACGTTAACCAATCAATGTAGAATATCAAAAAAAGCAACCAAATATTAATGCATCTGTACAAGATGTTATCAATACTACCAGGAAATTAATGCAAAATTATATTAGATCCAGATTAATTTTACAAATAGAAGGATAGGTCATTATAGTGCAACACAGTACAACTAAAATATAAGAAAAAGTATTATCAAATTTCAAAGTTTAACTAAATTGTAAGGTAAAAGGTAAACTATGTTTACAATTTACTGTTAATTCATTTATTTAACAATGAATTTTTATCAAAAAATTTGATGTTTTCAAGTTTTACATGTAAACACAGAAAACAGGGTTCATATAAAGATCTACATGTCCTCGGCACTTTTTAAATTTTCAATTTCACCTGAGGAATCTAATTATCTTTTAAATTCAAAAAATATTTAGAAAGTGATGTATTCTTTCTGCAAGTAATATTGGTGAAGGACAAGTTATGTTGATACCATCTAGTCTTAAATGAATTCATAGTACTAACAATACAGAATTTTTCAACCGTCAGATTCTCTGTTGTAGAGATAGTACTAAGATAAACCAGAGATTTAGTTAAACATTTGCTTAGCAATGGGCATTGGTCAGAATTCCTACAATTACATTGGCCAATATTATTAATATTTATCTTGGAATGTGTATTAGGATCCAGATTATTAAATTGGTTTAAAATTTTATTATTGTATACCTTTATAATCTTCAAGATTATTGGTGCAGCTATAGTTTTAATGAATGTCTGTTTAATATTTTACTAAGAGGGTTACTTTTAGGAAAATGTTTATCAATCAAATGGAGGAAATATTGATCTACTCTGTATTGGGCCCTCTTTTAAATTAAATGTTATAAACATTGGAATTGTACTCTATTCATTCTCATCCTACACACACATTATATATATATATATATATATATATATATATATATATATATATATATATACACTGAAAGGAGTTGGCAGATATATAGAAAGAAGATGTCAACCCTCCTCCTGACACAAAGGAGTCTCTCTCATGCAATGAATGTAGCCACATCTTCCTTCTCAGCCACAAACCTGGACACAGAAACATCACCCATCTAGCAATATGATACTTAGCAAGACTTTTCACGCTGCATTTTTGAAAAAGTGTGTAGGTCTTCCAATGGCCTCACTCAGCATCATAAAAGTAAACATCCATATATTAAGATTGCTTGCAAGTCACTTGCAGGTCTTATGAAGCATTTAAGACATCATCAGTGATATGGAAATCATCTCATAAATGTTTGTTTAGGAGTCATGTGTCTGAGACGTGGTCATATTGTTTACAACTTCCACTACCACCACACACAATATAATTTAATGAAAACAGACAACTTTAAAAATCTTTTATCCTTGGAAGTGAGGTCTGATGATCCAGGGAAAAGAAACTCCCTGGGAAAATAAATTATAACCATGAACCCTTAAAGTTGTCTGTTTTTATTGAATTAAATTAATCGCTCCGATTTAACATTGACCTCTCCGGATTTCAGCCCCCTTGGGATTATCCATACAGATTACCAAGATTTTCATTACTTATATATATATATATATATATATATATATATATATATATATAATTCAAAATTAGCATGTTGTGAAGTTGACAGAAAAAAAAATGTAACGGATCTCTTAGAGTCATAAAATGGAATCAATTATCAAACTTATACTTTGAGAAACTTTTGCAACAAATGCCAAAAATTTGTGTTGCAGTAATCAAGTTTAAAGAGAGCAAAATTTAATCATAAATTTTTTTTTCTTTTCATCATAAAATTTCTAATAAAAAAGAAAAAAAAACGTCTTTTTTTTTTTTTTTTTTTTTTAACTATGTATAATAATTTTCTGTTATTTAAAATATGGAACAACTTCTTCTGGGGCCAATTTAAAAATGACCAGGGATGCCTCAAAATTTTGAAGCAATGTAAGTTTAGTAAAAATGCATATAAGTATGTCTACAGGAGCGGAAGTGTGAAGCTAAACTTTTCAACTGATGTATGTATAATGGACTCCCACATTTTCTTATGAAAGTGCAGTTGTTTAGTTCTCAGACCTGAACAGCCAAAGCTACCCGCATTACTGTAGTGGTAAAGGCTTGTGTAGAACTAACTACACTTTTTGAAAGAACTGAAAACTGCTGTACACAATGTGCCACAAAGTTTCCAAAGACACTTCTCAGGTTTTGAATTCAGAGTTGTCCTTCTCCTAGAAAGCTATAGGGCCTAGTCTGTCCTGCTATTCACCTATAGCTGAGGTGGGTGGGGAATAATGAATTCATACTTTTCAAAAGAGTATTTTCATATATATATATATATATATATATATATATATATATATATACATACATACGCACACACACAAGCAGTATAACCAGTCTTTGCCTGGCTCTGTCATTACTGGGAAATTTTAACAATCAATTAGGGCAGTTTAAGCTTAAAGTCAGCCCACCCAAAAATCAATATTAGTAACAACAATTGGGTGCAACTGAGGCACATCCCCAAATGTGTGCGTGTGAGAGAGGGCGGTGTAACAATTTGAATGGGAGGTGACCCTGAAAAGGGAACTGTATCATAATAAATAATATTATTGTAATAATTTAAACTATTTATTTTTTATTAAAGTTTTTATGAAAGATATATATCCAAGAACAGATAGTAAATAGTAAAACGTTGCAGAGAGTTATAATGGACAGGAAGTAGTGGAGGGCCATTGTCACCAACAATTTGAACTCAAAACCAGTACTGAAGAATTATCTATCAAAAAAAAAAAAAAATTTCATTGAAATTGGATGAAAACTGTGGAAATGCATAAACAACATCCGATCACACATATACATTTTGAGAATTTATATATATATATATCTATAAAAAGTCAAAATCTCTCTTTGGAGCTGGTTATCCTTTTCTCGGATACATTCAGGTTTATTCAAAAAGAATGAACCAATTTCATTATGTAATATTTTAATAAGGAAACACAATAGAAAACTCCAGTCATGTCACAAGTATTCTACTCACAATTAAGTTTTATTTTCTGTTTTACAAGTGTTAAGTGTGGCCACCACCTGCAGCCCGGGTATCATCAATGCGATAAGAGAATTCCTCCCAGATGCATATCAGTATATCATGATCCACTGAGTTGATCATTGTTGTTATTCAATGTTTAAGGTCATCAAGCTTAGTAGTTAGTGTTGCAACATGAACTCAACCTTTTACATATCCCCACGAGAAAAAAAAAAAAAATACAGTGAGGTTTGAGGATCTTGCAAGTCAAGTATAAAGTGCAATGTCTTGTTAATGCCTGAAAAAGGTGTAGTCTGTAAGGTTTCAAATGTAGACATCTTAGCACATGCCAGATAGCGGATTGAAAGTTATATTTAAAAAACCCTAAAATATATAGATAAAGAGGAGTAAGTGATAAAAAGAAAGAGTTCTTAGAACAGGGGACAATTATAAGATATAATTAATATGGTGTAAAAATGGAAATATAGAAATAAGAATTAGTTATACATTCGACATTTGAAGAGTTATAGTAGCTAATGAAGTAAAATCTGTATTATGGAAATTTGAATTTGTTTTTATGTTGACATTTTAAAACTAATTCAGTCCTTTTTTTAAATATAACTTTGTAGTTTTATGTATTTTTTAAGTATAATTTTATTTTTATTTTTTTTTAAATATAACTTGGTTTTGATTTAACATCTTTAAAAGGTAAAATTTTTTCAGATTTATAATTTATTTTTAAATATTTTTTATTCTTTAATATAACCTATTATTTTTATATTAATTTAAAATTTTTTAAATATAATTTTACTTAATTTTAATATAAATTATCTAAATATAACTTATTTTTATTTAAATATATCTTATTTGTAAATATAACATGTCTTTGGAAGAGTATTTTTAAGTAGGAATTTATATTTTTAAACTTAGCCTTATCTACTTAGATTAAAAAAAAACAAAAAACAAAAAAAAAACTTCATTTCTCTCTCAGTTTCAAATTAAGACTTCATTATTCATATAACCCCAATTTAATGTCATAAGGTTAATATCCAGGTTTAATTTTATAAAACCTGTTCCCTTTAAGGCTAATACATGCAAACACTTCCCACTATTATTGACTCCTACACTTTTCCAGACTGAAAAATTGAAATGGATAAATTCTGTATTAGTTTTTCAACAGCTGTCACAGCTAACTTTCTAATTCAGGCATGAACTCTGTCTATATACCAGGGTCAAATAATATGGATGAAGTTTTCATCAGATGAAATAGGTCTATTCCTCACATGAGGTAATTTTGGTTTTTTATGTACTTATATATATATATATATATATATATATATATATATATATATATATGTGTGTGTGTGTGTGTGTGTGTGTGCGTACACACAGAGAAAAAGTTAAAATATTCTAATTCCCAAGTATCAAACTTACTCAGAATTTTACCCCAGACACATCATTAACTGTGTTTCTCATCAGTGAGAAAAAGAAAATTTATTTCCTTGGCACACAAAAAAAAAAAAAAAAAAAACTTTCAAAATATAAAAATTAAAAATCATTTTAGGATACCCAGACCAAGAATTGAACTCACAAGCAATGGTAAATGAGGCAAACAATTGCCCCCGCAGCACTTTACCTTTGCACTAAAAGGAGAGAATTGTAACTTGCCCTCAATGCAAGGACTGGGTAATTAAACCCAAACTTGTATCAAAAGCTGCTCTTGTCGAGAGGAAAATACATACCAACTTTATTTTCTTTTATAAAACTGGCACCCACAAATGTCTGCATTACAAAGTCAACTTCCAAATACAGAAGAAATGTTGCTTTATGCATTTAAATGAGGCTGAGTAGAAGGCATGATTAACATTCCTCCCTCATCCCAGCCAGGTCTTCACCAGCTGAAAAATTTCTTCTCCCTAACCGCCAAACAAAGGAGGTAAATATTTATTACTTAAAGTACAAGAAATTCAAGCATATTGCTACATGTCAAAATAGACAGGTGGAACAGCTACTGCGAGATCCTTGCAACCGAGCACTAAGGGGGTGGGGTAAGACAACTTCAAATGTCAACATGCCACTCTCAAAGTCTACACAGAAAAGCTATGGGTTAAAAAAAAAAAATAAATAAATTAAGAATTAAAAATTCCAGTCATAACTTAGCAGAGACAGCAAACTGTTACCAATGAGGCCAAGGTTAGGCAAAATTGAAGCTGAATTGTTTTTTGCTTTTAATCATTTCAACCCAAGCAAGGCAATAAAGCTGCTAAGCTTCAAGTGGTTACTGAATGTTAAAGAATAGGAGAAAAATACTATTAAGGAGAGAGAGCAATAAAAGAAAAAAAATTAAGATAGTAGATAATGATTAACATTGCATTTAAATTTTTGACAATCAAAGTTGACAGAGAAGCAGCAAACTGGAAGAGTGTTCGACAAGTAAGAAGTGTGAGAGAAGGAACTGCTAGCATAGAACTTATGGTTACATCTAACCATTTCAACTGTAAAATGATGAGGATTGGAAAATGAACAAACTCTGTACAGGACTGGAAAGTGAGTTGTAGCAATCTCCATTAGTGTTGAACAATTCCCCAAAACTTCTACCAAAGAATCTTGGCGTCACTCCAAACAAGGCCAGTCAGACAACATGTATTCTGATTACATAAGTTGTCAAATTTATATATACAAATGCCAAATCTATGTCTGGGCTTTAAATGTTTCCTAAGAATTAAACATTGGACTGTAAACAGTTTATATTGAAGACACAGGAAAAGAGTTCCACAAGTGAGAAGTGCAACAGAAAAAAACTATTAACATAGAAATTATGATTACATCTAGCCATTCCAACTGAGATGATGAGACTTAGCTGCCAATCTAGTGCCACTCTTAAATTTATAAAAGTCTAGGTACCGTAGAAGAAAATTCATCAGAACAATTTCCATGAAAGTATTTATAAAAAAGGCAGAGAAGCTATGTTATGGCACTGGGAAAGTGACTGAGGCTGAGATGCCAGGTCAGGACCAAGAACATAGCAGATTCTTTGGATTGGTTTTCCAAGGAAAATTAAATTTGCCTTTCGATTTGAAATCAAACCCTGAGTGATACTGAAAACTAGGTTTCAAAATAATTTTTTTTTTTTTTTTTTTTTTTTTACTAAAAACAATTGTCACTGTAGTAATTAAGGCAATACTTTCTAATCATGAAATGTAGAACAAGTATTAGCAAACTTCATACCAAGTATGGAATAGTCAAATCAACAGTCTGCCCTTCCTTGAAAACATGAACGTATTGAAAAATGTGCAAGTGGATAAAGGGAATAACCAAAATTAAGAAATTCTGTTGTGATATTAAAGGAAAAGAAGTTATTGGTGATTGAAACTGACGAATTATACAAAGTTCAAATAATTCTGACCTGGCATCTCAACTTCAGTCACATTCTAACTGCCATGATGTGGCTTTCCTGTATCTTTTCTATAAATATTTTCATGACAATTGTTCTGAGCTGTCGTCTTGTTTTATTTTTAATTCCCTCTACCAAGACAAATTGTATATATGGGAACTATTTTGGACTATATAGAAACTTTGAGGTATTATGGTGACTGTAGTAAGAATGTGTTTTTTTATTTAGTGTAAGGAATACTGCTTTGGGTTTGGGATATTAATCATGGCTATCTCAGCTTAAGATAAGGCAGATTGAAGACCAACCTTCCCCTCTCCTCCTTTTGTTCTTGTGTCACAATTTTGTATTTTTCAAAATAAACATCGCTCTCTTCCTTGGTACCGTGACTGAATGAATTTAAGTATACTACTAGATTGGCAAATAGGTCTCATTGTTTTACTGTTGAAATAACTAGAAGTAACTGTAATTTCTATTCTAATAGTTTCTTTTCTCACACTTTTTACCTGTGGAACTCTTCCAGTTTCTTACTTCCCTGCCACTTATGATCTTTAAAAATTTAAATACAACATCAATTGTCATCTTATTTCTTCCTGAATTCTGTTCTTTTATTGCCCTTTCTTTATTTTCTCTCAGTAATCTGTTGTGTCTTAGTGACATTATTACCTTGCACATAGTGAAAAAAAAATTAATTTTGTTAGTCATAGATAGGACACCATATAATCATTATTTACATTATTTGGACTATTGTCCTCATCTTTGTCGCCATATTTATTACGTTTTGGCCATTGTACACTCTGGCCTTCTTCAGGTGGTTGGAATGTCGAACTTAACCCTTTATTTTGCTCGCTGGGGTAGACTGTTCTAGTTCCACGTGCCATGTTTAATGGATGTCAGTTATCAGTTATCTCCTGTTAATTTCACTCTGAAAGTTCTCCACTGACTTAACAGGGTATTGAACTCGCACTCGTTGGGTCCTGTGACTGGATCTAACCAACGCCTTTTATCCACTGTGCTATATGTCCTTTAGAACAAAGAAACCCAAAGAGGGGAATTAACAGGAGATAACTGATAACTGACATCCATTAAACACGACACGTGGAACTAGAACAGTCTACCCCAGTGAGCGAAATAAAGGATTTGACATTCCAACCACCTGGAGAAGGCAGGAGTGTACAACAGCCGAAACGTTGTAATAAATATGGCGACAAAGATGAGGACAATAGTCTGAATAATGTAAATAGTGTAGATAATACCTAATCTCAGAAATATAGACAGACACCATATAATCATTCAGAACATTAGCAAATATCTTCACTACACATTCCCAGAATTTCTTTGCAACATAAATACTGTTCTATATAAATTTTTTTTTTTTGTACAAATGAACAAATGCTGCTCTACAGCTATCTTAAAATACATCAATCTCTACAAAGCATCGTTATTTTTTTACATTGCTCACACTATCTTCAGACAAATCTGTAATACACTCAGCTATGGTATTATCAAATAACAGAATTTTATTAATTTCATTTTTATATTTTGAGCCACTCATTGTTTGTACAATTGCTTTGCAAGCAGAATTAAAGATCCAACAATTGTACATGGTTTCATTTCTTTTCTTTGGTTTCTAAGTCTAGTGAATAAAGAACTGCTTTCTTGTATTTTATCTGAAACTGAGTACTTTAATAAAATTTGTACTTTTGTGAGATTTTCTTCTTTATGTGCCATGCCCCCCTCAGCAAATAGGTGATCATGGCCCTCCATAATTTCCTATCCTTTGTAGCTCTTAATAAAGTTTGTTATTTTTGCTATTTCTCTTAAACCATGTCCTGCTATCCATTTAGTATCCATCAAGTATGTTATGTGCTGCTTTCCTCTGTTCCTCAATCTGCCCTGTGAGTATCAGATTTTCTAAGCTCTCCTTCTTCATTATGTGCTCCAGAAATTTCAACTGCCACTTTTTGATGTTTAGTATAAGTTTCCCATTTTGTTTCCATTTTCTCTAAAACCTTGTCATTGATCACGTTCAGTCTATAGTATCCTCAGCATCTTTTTGTAGAATCACTTTTCTGTCACTTCAAATTTCTTCATCTTTGAGGAAATTGTCCAACATTCATTGCCAGATAGGACAGATATCACATAACAGCTCAGCACTCTTTTCTTTATTTCTAACAAAATTTTTCTGGCTCTTAATACTCGGCTTAGCTTTTGGAATGCACCTTCGGTCATCCCAATGTGTCTTTGGATCTCAGTGTTGCATTTTCTATCCTGTTAAAACACTTTAACAAATCTATAAAATACTCTAATTTGTCAACATCCAGAATGTAACAATAACAACCACGATGAGAACACTACTCTAAGTATATGAATTTTAAAAATTCCTTGACAAAAAATATACAAAATAGACGATCATATACAAAAGTAATAAGTTTTGTCTAACTTTTGTTCTATTTCAACAAGCTTTTGCCTACAAAAATACAATGTGATTTTCAAAATGGCCTAAGAGCTCTAATTTTCCCTGTGTGCCATTTAGAATCAAGTTTAACATGGAAAAAAATTAACAATTTCCAATATGTAGATACTTTCTTTCAAACTCCACTTGTTATAGGGAGAAGGTTGTAATGAACTGTTCTCAGTGTCAAATGGACACAACTTGTTTCTCTTGAACACATTTCTATCTTTTTGGTACTCTAACAACAATACCTGGTAACTTGAATTGTAATATTTATTCATAAATAATTTCGGTTTTTGACTATCAACTTCATTCTTCAAAAAAAAAAATAATGGACATTTAAATTTTATTCAATTATATCTTCACCATTATTTGCAATGACTTATCAGACAGATTTTCAATAGATACCTTTTGAGTAAAATTCTGCAGGTTTTGATATGACAATGTTTTCAATGAATTTTTTTAATGTGGTTTTCATTAGGAAAAGGGTTTTTTTTTTTTTTTTTCATCAAAACATTCTGCAGCAATTAAAAAGGCAACAATCGGTTGGTGCAAAGTCATTGGAATATGGCAATGTATATAAGATAGACCATCCAAATTCTAAAACTTTTTTCTTGTGTTATTCTTGTTGTATGTAAACTTGCACTATCATGGAGGCAAACAACATTTTTCCTTTAAGCCGCTGTTTACGCTGCCATTGCTGTGCAAAAGCTGATGTATGTTAGCGTACTCTAAATTTATTCTTTAAAACTGCCATGTATACTTAGTAGTTAGGCCAGTGTTTCTCAACCTTTTTAAGCAATGGCACACCTAGGGGCAAATTAAAATATCACAACACAATTAGGAACATTTTTAAAGGGTATACATTTAAATGTTATGAAATAAAACGATAGATTTAAACATACACACAAATATGGACTTTATTTCAATGTTTCTATTCAACTATATGCACGGGTTATTTAGTGTGAAACCTATGCCTGGTGTTTTATCGGGAGTTCTTCAATGTTTGGTTGAATGTGCGATTAATTCATAATTCAATTTTGAATTAAACAAAGAATGTTGAATACAGTTATATGAAAAAAGTTAATAT